CTCATCCGGCCATTCACTCTTCGGTTACTCTAGATTATTGATTCATCAACATAATTTTGCCTCTCCAAGTACTATTATTATTTACTATTCATTTCGAATCCCCTACATATTTTACATGAAGTCTCAACTAAATCAAAATGATCAAATACACAAGGGTGGAGGAGTTTCTGAGGTAGACACAAGTATGGTTGATAGCAGATCATGAGTCTTGATAGTTCATGTCTTCGGAAATCGAATTGAGAAGACGGATGCCATAGCGAGTACCATAATGGGGAGGAGACATCGAAGAAGGTACACCTCCTGTGGTTTGTGTCAAAACGACACTCACTGAGATCCGCACCAAAAAGGTACATGCTGAGACTCATGCCAAATAGATAGTATAGTGGTACTTGCTGAGGCTTTATGCCAAACAGATAGTACATGTCAATGGATGCGTGTCTACCAAAACCTGGTGGTTCAAGATAGAATATCCTGCGACATGTGTCGTTATACTATTTGGCCACTTGGTATATTTTGGTACCGAGAAAAGGCTTATAAATAGAACTTATTTTCTAAGGTCAAAGAGTAAACTTCTTGGGAATTGGAAGGATATGTTGCCATTTTGCACCACCACATTCTCTTCTTGAACCACTTGCTTTACTCTCATCCGGCTATTCACTCTTTGGTTACTCTAGATTATTGATTCATCAACATAATTTTGCCTCTCCAAGTACTATTATTATTTACTATTCATTTCGAATCCCCTACATATTTTACATGAAGTCTCAACTAAATCAAAATGATAAAAAACACACATGATTCTCAAAACATAAATTTTAATGTATTTTCTTTTTGTGAAGTTTCAAATATGTCCCTTCTCTCGTTATTGATTTTGAATGGTGACATGTTTAGTGTAATATATTGCGTATTTTTGAAACTAAAATGAAAATAATTAAAAAAATTAGATATTAAACTGTAATCAATTACAGACTTTAAAAGACCATTAATGTAACGAATTTGTTATAAATCGGTGAAACGATATTACGTGGGATTGGTGACATGATTGAGACAATATATAATCGGACGTACGGTAAAACAATGAACTGATTATGTATAGATAGATTGTTTAGTTGTTATGGAAATAAGTGGTGAAGAATGCTTAGGAAGGTTGGTGTTATGTCTCTCTCCTCACTCACCACCACCACCAACAAAATTAACCTACTGTCAATCAAAGCAATGCAATGAAAATGAGGTGGATGCCTGATTTTAGTTGTAAAAAAGGAAGGTACACTTTGGCTTCAACGCCAAACTTTCCAACTGTACTTTGATAGGAAGGTATGCTCTCTCTCTCTCTCTCTCTCTCTCCATTGCAAAGGCCTCTCGTGTGAATGTGAGTGTGGGATGGCCCCCTACCATTTAATAAAAACTTTGGGTATATTACACCGATTTTTATCGAGTAAAATATAATATGTTTTACAGTTTTAGCGTGATTATATTGAGTTATTTTAGGATTTTAATTTATATAACGCTTAATTTATTCTTATAAATTATCTGTTTGTTATATGTATTAAAAAATGATATTCTTATCTCTTTTACATGAAAATGTATATTTTACTTTATTTATTTTTATATTTTCATTCCATCTGTATTAATTCTGGTCCATTTAACTTTATTAAAAGTGAAGTTAGTGTCATTATGTCAAAATTGTGAGATTTACTGTATTTTCTTCAAACTTTAGGAGAGGTCTTTGCTGAAAACTTTTTACTTAATCATGAGTTTTAGAACAATTTTTTTCTAGAGTGATAGGATTTGGGTTTGGGAATTGAAAGGTAAAATGATTAGTGTACTATCAAATTTTATAGAATTAAATCTCAATCATCCAAAATATCAGTTTAGGATCACTCTAAAAAAAATCACTATAAAAAATTCTATCTATTTTTGACTTTACGTTTTTCAAAATAATTGAAATAGTTGCTCCTTATTATATCTATGAATTACAATAATCAAAGTACAAATTTAAAAATTTTAGGTAAATTATAACAAAAGTAATTTAATTATTTATAATGAGAGTATCGATTACAAGCCCTAGTTTGTGGAGAAGAAAAGACGAAGGATAAGACAACCAATTACTTTATCACATTCATTAAGACATGGTTTGGGATTTTAATCTCGATTGTATCATAAATACGTTTAATAACATAAAAAAGTGTCAAACATAACTCAAAAATGAATGATAAAAAGAAAAAAACTCATATTGTTTTATTTTAGAAATTAAATTATATATCTTACGGTTTTGATCTTTTCTAACTCAACATGGATATAAAAAACACATGTTTATTTACATATGTTTTTATCTTCTTTTCATTTTTTACCTAGAAATTAATATTGTATTCCACACTTTCTAAATGATTTTTTTTATTTATTACTATTTGTATTCACCTCCTCTATATCAGAATCTTGGGTCTCAACATTGGAGGATGGCGGTCTCAATATTCGCTTTTGTTCATGTGTTTTGTTTAGGTGTCTGAGATTTGTTTTAAGTGATCAATAATCTTATGATGATCGCATTATATTTATGATCACGATTAATAGAAATGTTAGGGGAAACAAAGACCTAAACTAACATAGTAAGTGAGAGTAAAAAGTGATATTACGAAATTTTTTTAAGCATTGCTATTTAAGACTAAAAATTAGACTTACTTTTCAAGCTTAAATGATGTGACAATCAATTAGGCTATTAAATGTAACACACTCTCTCTCTCCTATCTTCTTTAATTATCAACCAATCATATTATTTATATATTGAGTCTAAAAAATAGGTGTATATCATTTTTCTTTTTCTTTTTTAGGTCTCAAGTCTTGATAGAACCACGTGATGAAAACCAATTTATATAGACAACCCCAATTCACTGGCACACAAGGCTTAATTCGATTTGATTTGTGCTTGACTTACATAGGAACTAGTTAAAATAAGTTATGCAAGTAGTTTGAATTAAGAAATAACATGTTCATGATATAGCAATGCATTCAAAATAAAGATTAGTAAGTGGAAAACAAAAGTTCTGCATGTTTAGAACAGAATAATTAGAAGCTCCATGAAGATCATTTTGTCTTGAAAAAAAATTAAAAAAAAAAACTCTGAGATGAGACCCTTGGATGAAGATACACATTGTTCATTTTTAAAGCCAGTGACACCAATGTGGAGAAAAGTTATGTTCTATGTGTAGTGATGACAAGCTAGTTTAATTTTCTGAGTTTGGGGATGGACCACTTTGTGTCCAATGCTTTCCAAGTGACCTAAGTTAGGGTTGGGGTGGATCTAGAGGTCTAATAAACTCATCTTGTGTACCAAAAAAATTGAAACATGAAATAATTGGAGAGTTAGGTCCTCTCTGGGACAAAAATTCTTTAGGCCCCCATTTCATCATCTCCATGTCCAACCAAACCAACCAACCTGACAGAGAGGTTCCCATACACCAGTTTAAGAGAGCATTACAACATAAATTAAGAAAAAGAAGAAAAAAAAGTGAACATGCACAAGCTCATTGGGGGAAAACAGTACAAACACACAATTATTTATTTACTTTTCAACCAAAAAATGAAATAGAATGCAGCACTGAATTCATTTTAGATGGGGCTCTCACTCCAATAAGACGAATACAGTATTTGTGTTATTCTATAAATAATATATATACTATAGAGTAATGTTAGTGACTCTAAAAATTTCATCAAAAATTCTACCAAATGTCTCACATGGGTATGAGACCTACACAATGTGGATCCCATACCCATGTGATACATTTGGTAGAATTTTTGGTATTTCCAGCAATTTTGATATTTATATAGTTTGAAGACTTCACCAAACAGTTAGCTGGGAGCTGAATTAATTAGTTCAAGTGGTCACAGTTCAATGACCCATTTATGTATTCATTTGTTTCAAGGTTATACATAATGCTGTGTTTGGAATTTGGATTTGTGGTAGAAAAAGAAAAAAAGGTGAAAAAAAAGTTGGGTTTGTGGAGTCTATACGAAAGTAGGCGCATTGTAACATTCTCTTCTTTCAGTATAATGCAACTGTTATCGACTGTCGCCAATCTTGTTGAACTATATAAATCTATGTGTCATGCTTTTTTTGTTTTTGTGTTATTTGTTTTTGTGATTAATTTTTCTTGGTGTTGTGTTTATGGTTTTTTCCGCAACAAATATAATGAGAACTTTTCCCTTCCCTTTTATGTCTGCATGCTTTTTTAGCTTAAACCTTGCATTCCATCCTTTTTTTGAGTTACAAGTTCTTCTAACCACTACTAACTGCCATTCTCCTCATTTTCTTTTTCTTCTTCCACTATTCTCTCTCTCTCTCTCTTCTATTTTTATTGGAAGTTTCCATTCTACATTAAAAATGTTGTATACAAATACTGTTTGACTATTCTGGATTTCAAGCCCTGAGATTCATAGATCTTAAAGGTTCATGAATAAAGAGCAGCGAAGATCAGTGCCAGACATTAAGGTCTGAACTATGATGTCCAAAACTTGATGACCCCCAAATAAAGGATTTTTGGAGGACACATTTACATTCGAGTAACAAAGCAAACATACTTTCTTGTTTTATTACATAGTACTATAGTTTCCTTTTTCATATTCAGCAAAACATATCTAAAAAGTGGAACTACATAGGAAACTGAAAATTTATGTTGTACGCACAATGATGGAGATGGAACAACTTTCCTTTCCTTTTTGACTTTACAATGCCGATAACAAGAAAATTGCAAAAGTACAAATGCAAATCATATGCATAACAAACTAGTGCACAATCTGTTAAATTTGTAAACACACAAATATATATTAAAAATATACAAATGATAAACGAATGAGTTTTTGTCATTGTTTTAGCAGTGAGTGATAACCATTGTGTTCTTTTACGTTCAATTCAATTGAAAAGAGAAATATGGAAGATAAAAAAACTTATCCCCTAACAGAATTGCATAAATAAATCATATCTTAAAAACAGAGAATTCTGCAAATTTTCAAGATGCAATAATAATTTTGTCCTTGCATTAATAGAAATAAACATTTTATTCATACAAAGATAAAACTCAACCACTAGTCACAAAAATCGGAATTTGAAATGAGTTGGTCATAATGAAAAAAATTAGATTGAGCTCCACCATTGGATTATACCCTCTGTTGCATGCAAATCTTCTCTCCTATGCGTGTCTTGACATGAGTTCCCTAAACAGTTCTTCCGGTGCTGAAATTCATAACAAAACAAAAAAACAGTGAACATAAATAGTACAAAAAATGCTTTTCCTTTTTAAAGAAAAAATGTTATTAAAGTTCGTAACTTAGGTGCTATAATCATACCTTGCAAACCGGTGAAGTTTTTATATTGCTCAAAGCCTTGGCGGATCAACATTTCTGTTCCATAAACAATTATCTTTCCACACTCTCTTGCTTCTCGCAAGAGCCTGGTATCTTTTGGCGTGTAAATGGCATCGAAAACTAGGTCATAATGTTTAAGAGCTTCCTGCATAATGCATCAAAAAAAATAAAAATAAGAATCTCAATTACTTCAACACTCATTAATAGATAGACAAAAACTCATGGATGACAATATCATATTTCGCAGAAATGATTCTTTTTAATGCTGAATTTTGCCATTTTGTTGAAATTTAAAGAAAAAGGTTGTTTTGTTCATTTGGAAGTCCTAATGTCAACATTGCAATATGAATTCACAAATATATCCAAATAAACAAAAACCTTTTCAAAATTTGATACTCATAAATTGACACATTAGGCGACACATCTTAATAATTTCTATCAAGATTTGACATTTTTAGGAACCTCTGCTAAGTGCATAAAAAAAATTAAAAAAAAAGCCAACCTTAGAGATGGGTGTCAAATCAATATTAGGTTTCATCCCCACAGATGTGGTATTTGCAAGAATCATTCCTTCTTCTGGATGGAAGTCATTTACTTCTTCAAGAGTCAGAGCTTTTCCCCCAACTTTTTCAGCTAATTCCTTAGCTCGTTCTGTGGTAAAAAGAAAGCTCAAATCATCACGCGAGATAGAAACATCAATGAGAATCCATATTAAGATACAAGTTTAAACCACAAAAATGACAAGGGAAGTACAAAAACGATGACATTTAGTACACTCTTACAAAATGTTTCGTTGTGCTAAATGCTACATTAGTACACTCTTACCAAATGTGCGATTTGCAACTACGACTCTTGCTCCTTTTTGTTGTGCACCATAGGCAAGTGACTTTCCAGCACCTCCAGCTCCCAAGACAACAAACAATTTACCAGCTAAGGGTGAACTGGTTGCAGGGCTTGAACCATTCGACTCTAAAAATAAAAATAAAATTTAGTAAAATAGAGGAGAAGAGTCAAAAAGACTAGCTATGAATTTGTCTAATCATGGTTCTAAAGAACACTGCATACCTCGTAGTCCATCTTCGATTGCAGAAATTGCACCAATATAGTCTGTGTTGTAAGATTTCAAAGTCCCATCTGGTCTTCTAACAATGTTATTAATAGCTCCTATTTTCTGTAAGAATTTATTTAATTACATTTACAAATTAAATAATTGGTCATTTCAACAAAAGAAACATCTCTTTGGAAGGTTTGGATAGGGATAGACATTTGAATACCTTGGCAATTTGGTCGATCTCATCCATGCATTCAAGGGCAACTTCCTTGTGAGGAATCGTACAACTGCATTGAAAATTATATGTTGTTATTTCATTGCTCAAACACACAATTATGACCATTAAATTGTAGAAACATGGTCTAGACTCTCAATCAGATTTTAATACTACTGGTCTTTCTAAAGAGGACATTTTTACCTGAATCCGGCAAAATCAACTGATGAATAGGTGTTGAAGAACTTCTTGACATCATCGACCAACAAATGCACATAAACTGAATTCAAACCAACTTTCTTAAATGATTCATTGAATAACAGAGGACTCTTGCTGTGACCAACGGGCTTCCCAATGATGCCATAAACTTTGGTATCTGGTCTTATAAGTCTGAAATTGTATAAGTCCAACAAATCTTTGACAGTTGGTTGCCCAGGAGCTGATATCGCACCAGCCTCAAGTGCAGCATAAGTCAAATACCCATTAAATTTAGGGCTTAGTAGCCGTGAAATTAAACCCCTCTCACCCATGGCAATTCCTATCATTGGAATCTGCAAATATCGGTTAATCATGTTCTCAAGTTACATGTTAATGATACAGCATTGGCTCAAATTTGATATTTTAGAGAGTATCATTTTTTTTCCCAGGGAAATACTTACTTGAGAATGCACGGTGATTTGAAAAATGCGTGCCACATCTGTGATGTCTAGGGCAGTTGTCACAATCTTCACTATATCAGCTCCAGTAGCTTGAATTCTTGCCACAAGATTGCCAATGGCCTCAGCTGATGGTGTGCTATGGAAGTTCTGAGATGAAACGATGACTTTGAACTTTTCTGGCTTTTTCGCAGAAATTGAATTGTTGAACTCTTGAGCAACCTGCAATATAGAAAATGTGGAACTCTTAAGTGACATGAAAGTGTGTGAGATTGTCATGCAAGAGATAGGATCGATAACGTTAATTAAGATACTAATTGAGAATGTAGAGAGTTCATGAATCATCTAATGAATGACGAGCCAAAGAGCAACCTGAAGCTCGACATCAATATAATCAGCTCCCAATTCCATGGCTAGCCGAAGGGCATCCTGTCGCTTGTTCTCATCACCTTCGTATTGACCACTTTCCCATATCGGCCTAAAAAATATGAAAAGTAGATAATAGATTACCATAAGAAAGAAAAAAAATTAAACAATAAATTAAAAGTACACTATGAATAGAGATGATACTTATTTGAGAAGAATTATCTCTATATGACTGGAATCACTTATTGATATTGAAAATACAACCTTAAACAATCAAGTATGGGAATTATAAAGCATAACCAAAATGTGATGCTTGTGCAAAAATAGCATTAAAATTGTGCATAAAACCATAACAAGTGTCCCTTGTCCATCTAGTGCAATATTACAAGCATTTGGTGTGCAAGTGATGTGAAACTTACAAACCCTGTTGGAGTTGGTGAATATTTATGCTGTGGCTTCATTCAAAGGCTTCTTGAATAAACTGTTCTCAATTCTACACTAATGGCTCTACTTAAAGGTTTGGTGACAATTTTTGAATGCATTGTAGAAAAACAATCTTGCCCATGTGGCTATATTTAAGGCAGTGATATATGGTGAGCAAAACAAATTAACAATATTTTCATGTATGGTCTGAAGAATGATACAGGCTTTAGGTTCCCCAACAATTGTCAATTTGACTAGGTGTTGCAACATTTTACCAAACCCGACTGACAATCAATTTGAACTGGTGGGTGAATAAAAACTTAATCTATGATTGATTGAAATAGCATTCATAGGTCCTATTTAAAGTGTAATAGATTAATTTAAACTTATTATGATCAGTGGCGAACAGGAGAACTATGGCCCCTGCAAGGGTCTAGAAAATTTCATGAAGTTGCAATGTTTTGGCATCTTAGTCTGTAAATTATAAATTTTTTTTCTTGAGACAGGGTTAGTATATTAATATAGTTAGATTATAACTGAAGGATCGTCGTTGCTCCATCAATTCGAATTATTGACCTTTCACTCACTACATACTAAGGTGTAGCTACTAGATAATTGAGTCACACCCAATGTCTAGTTATAAATAAATTGAACGATTCATATTTATTTATTTTTCTTTTTAAATAAAATTAAACGACTGGAAGTGAAGGTGTCTATCTACACTTTTAAGAGCGTAGATTTTGATAACCTCCGGTAAAAAAAAAATGAAAATTTAATAGCCTAATCCAACACTTAAAAGTGAATGTATTAAGTGATAATTAATTAAACTCATTTGATAATTACAATTGATATCACTTAAAAATTTAATTATCTATTACAATTTACACCAAAACTTAAGAAACTTTGAATTTTACTTAATTTTGATTGAATTTATATATGTTAAACATAAGTATCGATATATACTATTATTAATTCACAACCATCACCGCTATCACTATCACCACTACCACAACCACCACGATCACCACACCGCCACCACCACGATCACCACATCGCCACCACTACCATCTCCAGCTACCACCACCACCATCACCAACATCATGCTACCGCTACCACCACCACCACCATCACCACTACCATTATCACAATCATCACAATACAAAAATTGAATATATGATTTAAAAAAAAAAATTAAATTTGATTTTATAAATATCATATAACTTATTTTTAGGTTAACATTTAAATTCTTATCAAACAATTTTTTAACTTAAAAAATTTAACATTTCGTTTTTAATACTCAATTTTTAATTTCTAATTTTATGAAACTCCACTGTAGTCTTTCTCTAAATTTTTATTCCTATAGACCCCTAACTAAAGTCATGTTATGTAAAATTTGAAAGAAAATAAAAAATAAAAAATCTACATAATCTTTTTTTATTTTTTATTTTGTATGTATATTGACTGAGAATTTTATTTATGGATTAAAGATTTTTAGGTTTACAAAAGTGCGTGTACTAATGTAATTTACATACTATACTTCCCATATAGATGAAATAATTAGAATTTTGTTTTACCAATTTTGAATACATACAGTTTGATTTCCGTAGGTAGTGCTTGATTTACTGGAATGAAGTGGAATAAAATAATTATTTTATCAAAATATTTATTTCTATGTTTGGATAAACTAATAAATAATAACAAATATATTACGAATATAATCATCTTTCACAATTTAAGAGAAATGGTGATTCCATAAGAAAGTCTAAGGAGTCACAATTTCATTCCATTTCATCTCATTTTAATTAACTAAATAGGGCATTATTGACTATAATTATGGTTTTGGGCAGAGAAAAAACCACAGGAGGCTGGTAAGGATTTCCCTGGGCAGTGACTTTTTTAGTAGTTTTTTAATTTAAGATGACAAAAATTAAAATGTTTAGGATTAATTTTTTACTTTTTTACGAAAAATTGTGTAAAAATTACAGGGAATGAAAATAAGACTTTACTTTTTTGTATGATATTTTTTACTTTTTAGCTTGTTTATATTAGCCACTTTCAAAACATTACTGTAATTGGAGAGGGGGGATAAGGAAAAATCTAGTTTTTTAATATTGTAGTTAGATCATAGATTTGTATAGGTATTTGGAAAGAAAAAAAAAGAGTAAAATATAAATAAAATATAGTTACATTTTATTTATTTATTTTTTTTCCATTTTCAATTCTTTATTTAAATATTACAGAGAATGAAAATAAGACTTTACTTTTTTGTATGATATTTTTTACTTTTTAGCTTGTTTATATTAGCCACTTTCAAAACATTACTGTAATTGGAGAGGGGGGATAAGGAAAAATCTAGTTTTTTAATATTGTAGTTAGATCATAGATTTGTGTAGGTATTTGGAAAGAAAAAAAATAAGTAAAATATAAATAAAATATAGTTACATTTTATTTATTTATTTATTTCCATTTTCAATTCTTTATTTAAATTCATGATTCAAACATAATTTAAAAATTTTGAATTCAGTTTAATTATTATTTATGTGGTAGAGAATAAATTTGGAATAGGAGGACAGAGATAAATGGAATGACGACTCTTTTTACGCGAAGATTATACATATCATGTGATTTTATATAACTAAATCTTTTTATCTTTTTGATCCCCCCCAAAAAAAAAAAAAAAAAAAATCCTTCTGTCTTTGTTCTTCAAAACATTCACAATTACTAAATTATATTTGGAAATTTACTTATTTAAATTTTTATGTAATTAAATGATTGTCAGAATTATAAGATTGAGAAGCAAAAAGAATTTAATGAGAAAGGATCCATTGGCATAATAAACCACAATGGCAAAGTCAAGTGGTTAGCTATATAGAACTAGCTATCTGCAGCTTCATTCATTTCCATCTGGTTTGGTCCCATATGCAAGTATTGGACACACACACATACACAGAGAGAGAGAGAGAGAGAGAGAGAGACTGCACCAGAACTTCCAACAACAACAACCAAAAAAATAAATAAATACAAAGCAACCCATTTTGAGTTACATTATAAATATACCTGTAAGTGACAAGAGTGGGTAAAGGAGACTGTTTGATAAGAATTTGAAGATCAGGGCGTGGATTGAATTCCCTGAGACAGTCCAATCTGATCTCTACCATGTCTGCACCGATTTCCTTCGCCTTCCTCATATCTATCAGCATTTGGTCCACCGTTGTCCCGATTAACGGCGTGCATAGCAACGTTGGACCGCTCCTAACTCCGCTACTACTTGTTTGAACATCCGAAGTTGCAAACTACACACAACAATCTCCCACATATATAACAAAAATAATTTGAAATTTTCATTCATATAAATACACAAATATGTATATGGAGAGATTAAGAGAGAAGAGAAGTAAGAACCGAAAAGCTTCCAGAGGCCATTGGGAAGGAAAGGAATGTGCAGAAGCTTGCTTTGAGTTTGTTTGCTTGCTTTGTTGTGTGGGCTTTTTTACTTTTTTTTTTGTTAGATATGTGAAGTTTGTTTATGATATTTAGGACTAGAGACTGACTGGCAAGTAGAGCAAGTAATATATATGTTAGAGGAAAAAAAGAGTTACAGCATAAAACAACTAGCTAGCATTGAAATGTATGAGGGAGATGTTTGAGAATATAGAGCGCAGCAACAAATTTTCTGGTTACTGAAGGTTAGGTTAGGTTGGGAGTTTGATGGCATTAACCTTCAAGTTCAAGTTGTAAGGTAGTACTGGGACCAAGTTTTTTGTTAGGTATGGTGGTGATGGCATTAACCTTGATTTTGAAATTTAGGTATTGGAGGGGGAGGATATCGAAATAGGGCAGGACAAGTGGCGTGGAGAGGATAGTTCAGTGTTAGTGTAATTTGCATCTTAACAAACATATTTTTATTTGTTTCGAAAAATAAGTTTTCATATTATGCAACTAAAAAAATTCCAATAAATTTATCATGAATTATAAATCAATAGTGTACAATTAAAGTTATTGTTGTGTGAATCTTTGGTCTTAGATTTGAAATTCCGAGTAATTTTTTTTAGGTTGGAAGCCTTACTGTTTCATTCCATCCTTTTTCCTCTTCACCACTACCTTCCGTCATTATCTTCAATAATTTAGAAATTATATAATTATATATATATATATATATATATATATCATGAAAAACCTTTCATGAAAATAATCATGAAAGTTTTGTGACCCTTGAATTACACTTAGAATAAAGCACCACACACTAATCAAGGTAATCCAAAGATCATAAATCTTTTATGATCATTTTCATGAATTTTTTTTTATGATCCCTAACTTCTCTCATATATATATATATATATCAAACATATTTTTTGCTTTATTATTATTATTATTATTGTTATTATTATTATGTACAAAAACATGTTTAACAGAAAATATGAAATTGATAATATTACCAAACATTAATATTACCCTGTTGCTGCTGAATGTATAGTTGCGTCCTTGTGTATGCTGTCAAGCTCTCTTGAGGAAGGTTGCTGTGGAGGTTTTGTGTTGTATGTACTCTATCAACATAGGAGTTTTTGTGTGTGCTTGGCTGTGTGTCTTATGTTTGGTTGTCTTTTTTTTGCTGTTGGTTACTCATCAACTTTGATGGTGTGCTAGCAGATGATATGACGGATTTATCGGTGCCAACCTAGTTGAGATTGGTTTGTCTCGCTTTGATATTCTTTGCACTCATCGCTTTCTATATGGATGTAATACTCTTTGATTCATCAATAAAAATTTTCTATTGCTGATCAAAAAAAAAAGAAAAAGATTACGCATGGTAACGTTTACAATTATTTTTTATTTTTAATTTACATAATATATTAAATATGTTTATATTTATTTTGGATAAAAAATGAAAATAAAAAACATGTTTGGTATGTAAGTATTTGAAAATTTTATTTTAAAAATAAGTGAAAATGAGTGGTTGTAGGAGATGGTTGTCAAGGGTTGAAATAGTGGTCGGAGGTGATTGTTGGTTGTAGAAGGTCATGGTTGGCCATGGAAAGTGGTTGTCGATGGTCAAAGATCATGACTAGTTGACCGTCTAAGATGATTGTTGAAGGTGATTTTCAATAAGAGGTGGTGGTAGTTACTATTGCAATTGGTAGGAGGTGATTGGTAGTGTGAGAGGTGGTTGGAGGTCAAGGAAGGTGATGATAGGAGCTGGTTGGCGAATGAGGTTGTTAGCGATAGTAACCGGTAGTGATGAGTAATTGCTGGTGGTCGTAAAGGATGGGAGCAATAGGAAAAAAAAAATAAAAATAAAATGCACACACACTAAACAAATAAAACCAATTTTTGTGTTTATAACTTTTTGAAAATCAAAATAAAAACTAAACGAGTTCTTGCTGATATATAATTTTCAAAAACTCTTAAATATAAACATAAAATTGTAAATATAAACGTTATTAAACATGTCTCAAGAAATCCAATTCCACACACATCGAGCAACATAGATAAATTTCAATCAAGTTAAAGTACTAAAATTTTGAATATATATATATATATATATATATTTAACAATAAACAAGAGAAGATTTTATTGATGATAATTAGCACATATTATATATGAAAATATGTCAATAAAGGGGAGGAAATGTAAAAAGTATCAAAGCAAAGCAACACGACTAGATTGGTGTAGACACCTCATTTTGACTGACCCTAAAACTTTGGGTGCTTGCAAGCCTTCCGATGATGAAATGGTAATTACTTTATTTTTAGAATGTTTGAGATTTTTTGGAGTTGTTGTACAAACCCGTTTTAACCAAAAATCAACTTTTTATAAAAATGACCATTTTACCCTTGAACCTGTTTTCAGCCAAAAAATAACCTTTTGACCCTAAGAGAGAAATGAAAGCCTGGTTGTTTCTCGATTGATGACGTTTTAGAAAATTAGTAGTCGATTTTATCAAAAACATTGATTGTGAGGTAATTCAGGCTTGCTTGTGGGTGGGGCATAGACCCCCACACTTGTGCATGCATAGAACCCCACACTATGCACACACACACATACTCTGTGCGGATGCATTTCCAATCGTGACAAAGTTATTTTTAGAAATTCAAAGGCAGCAAGCGAATGTGATAAGAAGCCCTAGGGTGCTTTCCAAGCTTTTTCATTGCCTATATGAGCAGCCATTTCTTCCTCCTTTCAAGGGGTTAGAAAATTGAGAGCTTTTTGTGAGTTTTTTGAGAGCACTTCACGTGCATATCTTCTCCTTTTGCCTTAGCTCTGAAAATACCACCATTACAACAACTTTAAACACTTAAAAACAATCTAGAGCTTGGAACTTGGACTATAATATGAAACCTTTACTTGATGGAGGCTTGTAAGCAAGAAGCTTGAGTTTTCTTGCACTTTTTTTCCTATGCCTTCGCTTTAATCATACTAGTAGGTAAAACTCTCTCATTGATTAATTTCAACACTCTTTTTGGTCTTTATTTTAGTGTTCAATCATAGTTAGGACTTTAGTGCCTCATCTCATCATGTCATTCATCGATTTCATCAAATCTTTCGATTTTTTTTTCCACATGTTTTGCTTATTTATTTGAAGCAGCATGCTTAGACTAGAATAATCATGTAATATTCATGCATTAAGCCCGATTTCATTCTTGCAATATTTAGCATATTTTTCTTTTTATTTGCTAGGTGTTGTATTTTGTGCATAAATCATGTTAGTAGTCTCAAACCGGACTTAGTTTCATACTTTGCATGTTTATTTGTATATTACGGTCATGTTTATTTTATGTTTTTGCATATAAGATGATTGAGTGCGCATACTGATAAGTCTTCTAATCTTTTATAGCATGTGTGCTTGTTTGGTTGCATTTTTTTTTTCTTTTCAATAATCCAAGTTTCTATGCTTTTCTTGCTAAATTGTTTGTTTTGAATAATTTTCAAGAATATTTTTAGTTTTAGGTTGAGTTTATGGCCATGGATCCTTAAAAATCCACTTTTAATTGAAAATCATTGTTTTGGAAAAATATGACTTTATTCGCTTAACTTAAAATAAATAATATTTATTTTGATCAAATCACATAGTTTTAAAGTAGTAAAGTATACGGGAAAGAAATAAACCTTCTCATATAATCCTGTTGATCAATCTGCGCTCCTCCGTACGTCGTCGCTTTATCACCTGAAAACACAAACGTGAGCTAGTCGGCGGGTGTGTGCCGGAAACCTCTCCAATGCCTAAGTCAGTAAGCTTGACAAATAGACAAAAGCTCTGTGTATTCAGAAAGCAAAGTTGTGTGTACCTCTCCAAAGGTGATGTTTGTGAGCTTTTATAGGTTTCGTGCGGCACAATCCTAGTAGGACTTCTACTCCTTCATGCAGAGTCCTCCTAGGATTCATACTCCTGAAAGATAATGCTTATCCTTCAACACCCCCCTCACTGCTTAAACCAAGTGAGATGGTTTTTACCATGGCCGAACTCCAACATGACCGAAGTAATCATGGCTATGCTGAGCCGCAGAGTAGGCCGAACTATCCTTAGTTCGGTTCTTCCTTTCGCTATACCTTATCTCAGTTCTCTCATGTACAAACCATGGTGTGTTTAGACCGAGCTACCAAATAGTAAGGTTCTGACCGTTCTATCCACAATACGCCATGACCGGGCTAACTCTGAGACCGGACTAACTTCAAAGTGTCTTTAGACCAGACTAACTTCAAGTCTCCTCCAGCCGGACTAGCTTCGGGGCTCTTGGACCGGACTAACTTTAAAGCCTTTTTACTCAGCCCTTTGTATTGCGGCCCATGACGGCCCATTACCCAGCTCGGCCCAATTTTCATTTAAATTACCCTCTCATAAAGGTTTCAGGCTTAAAATGGATTATATAAAATAATTAATCACTAAAATCATAAGATAGAATATGAGTAAAGGCCAATCTTCGAATTGGGCAAAAGAGGATGCATCATTCCATGACCTTTCTTTTTTGTATCTTAACTCCCAAGCTTGAAATTCTCTGGTTATGACAGATTAGGTATTTTACTTAGTTTTCATTGTTAAAGGTTCCTTGATTCTCCATAAAATTAAGTGACGACTCTTTTAATGTGGGATAAGCAAGTTGACACAACACTTGGGTGGAAACGTGCCTCATAACCAAAAAAGCATGGCATTCATAGTTAGCATCGAGAAGAATGCCCTATCATTTACTAGCACAACCTTAAAAGATGGTGAGAAACCAACAAGAAAAAAAAAAAAAAAACACAAAGCACACCAAAATCACCTATACAGCAGATCGGTCAAGGCACCCGACTGCCACTATAGCAAGCCAAGCCAGCAACAACATCATCCACTTGGCCATATACTTGATAAATACACACCTCCAACTCTGTTCCTAGATTGCTCAACCAACTCCCTTATGCATAATTTGACTTGTTGCAGGTTGTAAACAATGTCATTAACTAATAATCCAGAGAGGGACACGAAGCTTTGATCCACATTGCAATCCTTACTTTGATAATTTCACACATAGCCTCAAAATTTAGCCGTGAGCCATGAAATATGCTGTCATTTCTTTGTTTCCAAATGGATCAGAGCACAGCCAAAGGGATGGCTTTCCGGATCATACTCTCTCTCTTTCTTTTAGTTTA